CGGGAGACCGGTAGTGGGGCCGGGACATCTCAGGAGACGTTAGAGCTGGTTGTGCCCAGAGCTGTGCCTGCAGCCCCGGGGCACAGCGCACGCTAACAGCCTCAGCTGGGAGAGGAGTTTGCATGTTTGGAATAGAACGGAGGGTTTGTGGCTAGAGCTTCAGGGTCAAGGGGAAGGGTGGGATGAGAGAATGTGAGAGGAAGGCGGGCCCCGTTATGCAAGGCCTTTCAGGCCGTGAAGAGGAGTTTGGATTTCATTCGGTGCGCAGTGGGAAGCCACTTTGGAGTGTTAACAGGGATGGACACGATCTTACATTTTAAAAAGATCTACCGGATTCTGTGGCGATGAGAATGGAGAGAGTCCAGCAGGTGGAGCAAGATTTCAAATTAGTTAATAGCGCATCAATAGAGTGAAGATCCTTTGTTCTATTACTTCAGAATCAGTTGTATTAATGTGAACATGTTTACCCTGAGCTTCTGCATAGCAGTTCTTCATGTACTTGAAGACATTAAGCCCCTCCCATGGTCGGCTAACTGCGGCTTGCGAGCCACATGCGGCTCTTTTGCCCCTTGAGTGTGGCTCTTCCACAAAATACCACGTGCAGGCGCGCACTACAGTGTGATTGAAACTTCGTGGCCCATGCGCAGAAGTTGGTATTTTGTGGAAGAGCCGGTATTTTAGACGGTCTAGCCCAGTGATGGCGAACCTTTTGAGCTCGGCGTGTCAGCATTTTGAAAAACCCTAACTTAACTCTGGTGCCGTGTCACATATAGAAATTTTTTGATATTTGCAACCATAGTAAAACAAAGACTTATATATATATATTTTTAAATATATTTTATTGATTTTTTAGAGAGAGGAAGGGAGAGAGATAGAGTCAGAAACATCGACGAGAGAGAAACACCGATCAGCTGCCCCCTGCACACCCCCCACTGGGGACGTGCCCGCAACCCAGGCACATGCCCTTGACCGGAACCGAACCCGGGACCCCTCAGTCCACAGGCCAACGCTCTATCCACCGAGCCAAACCGGTTTCGGCAAGACTTATATTTTTGATATTTATTTTATATATTTAAATGCCATGTAACAAAGAAAAATCAACCAAAAAAATGAGTTCGCGTGTCACCTGTGACATGCGTGTCATAGGTTCACCATCACTGGTCTAGCCCATCCAGCTTAATCTTTTTCAGAATACATTTCTAGTGTTTTTGCTTTTTATGAAGCTCTAGTTTATGTTTTTACTCGTTTCAATGTTTTCGGAAAAATCTTTAAAATTTTTCTCAATTTGGGTGAAATTCATGTGACATAAAATTAGCCATTTCCAAGTGAACAATTCCATGGCATTAAGTACAATAACACTGTTCCAAAGCACTGGAATCCTTCCAAAGTAAATCCTGTATCCATTAAGGAGTTGCTCTTTGTTCTGTATGGATTTGCCTAGTCTGGACATTTCATAGAATTAGAATCCTAAAATATGTAACCTGTTATGTCTGGCCTCTTTCATTTAGATACCATGAGACACTAACTAGCAAAGGGGAGAACAAATCAGGAGTCACAAAAAAAAGCGCTGTATTGGGCAGTTGGGAAAGTGGCAGGTTCACCATGGGAATCTTAGGAAACCAGGACTTTCCTGTCTGTTGTCAATGAGCCTCAGTTTTATGAGAAACCCCGGGTACACAAACACAGCAGCCAGCTATAGAGGGAATTAGTTCTTCTGTGAATGAAGTTTCCACTGCACTCAGGAGTAGTGCCAAACATAATTCAGAAGTCTCTGGGACAGTGGCTGTCAAGAGCCCTGTGCCTTTCAAGAGAAGATGGAAGATCTGCTGACCTCATAAGGCTTCTCCAGTTCTTCTAGGGCAGTGATGGCGAACCTTTTGAGCTCAGCGTGTCAGCATTTTGAAAAACCCTAACTTAACTCTGGTGCCGTGTCACATATAGAAATTTTTTGATATTTGCAACCATAGTAAAACAAAGATGTATATTTTTGATATTTATTTTATATATTTAAATGCCATTTAACAAAGAAAAATCAACCAAAAAAGTGAGTTCGCATGTCACCTCTGCCACGCGTGTCATAGGTTCACCATCACTGTTCTAGGAGCTTGGCAGACGCAGCTGTTGAGGCAAAAGAGACAAGTCAACGCCCATGGAGGTGGAATGAAGAGGGATGCGAGGACAGTGGAGGACCGACAAGCTAAAAATTGGACGGCAAGCAGCCAGTCCTGGAAACTGGGAGGTCTGGCACTTATAGCCTGCTCCAGAGCCACTTGTTTGAGGACCTCTCTGTACGTATCCTGGTACTGATCACTTATTAGCAAACAGGTCCCCCAAGCTAGGTCTTGTCTTCTAGCTATAAATTGAATGCTTCCTGTTCCCTCACTGTTGGGGGTACACTGGAATAAAACGTATAGTGGAACCCAACATAAAGCCATTCAGTTGGCCATGTATAGATTATACATATAGGAGATAGTACCTAAACCCGTATGTTGTCTGGGTAGTCTAGGGGATTTTGTTTCAGGTTGTGAAATTGGAAGGCCAAAGTCAGGTATGTTACTATCACCAAAGTAATGAATTATCTGAGTAGATGTTATATCTAGAGTTTGTCAGTAGAACATAAAAGAATGAAGGTGAGCCCTAACCGGTTTGGCTCAGTGGATAGAGTGTCGGCCTGCAGACTGAAGGGTCCCAGGTTCGATTCCAGTCAAAGGCATGTACCTTGGTTGCGGGCACACCCCAGTAGAGGGTGTGCAGGGGGCAGCTGATCTATTTTCTCTCTCATCAATGTTTCTAATTCTCTATCCCTCTCCCTTCCTCTCTGTAAAAAATCAATAAAATATATTTTTTAAAAAAAGAATGAAGGTGACATTGGCCTGGGGAATGAATACTGCATTCTCTGTGGAAGGTGGCTGATGTCCTAGAAGGTGTCATCATGTGAATTCAGAAGGCTGTCATTAGTCTAGGAATCAGGTCCCATTGCAGCTGCAGAATAAGAATGGTCAAGAGTGTGGGTTTCATTTTTGTTTTGGGTAGTTAGGGTACTCCTCATTGAAAAAAATGACATTTGAACAAAGACTAGGAGGAGAAGGAATGAGCCATGTGGTTCTCTGGGGAAGGAGTGTAACTGACAGCGAGAATAGCCAGTGCAAAGGCTCTGAGGCTGGAGGGGAGCCTGAGGAAGGAGGCCACTGTGACCTACTGCGGACTGAGAGAGAAAAAGGGTAATAAATGAGATCCATGAGCCAGATTATGTAGGGCAGTGCCTTTGGAAGTGACGTGAACTGAAATTGAGAGTAAGTATTTAGAAAATTTTAAAGCAGTTTGACATTGCTGTACTACCCAACTGAATTTTTGTTGTATTTTTTAAAAATGTTTTTTCACAGATCATTTGAGAATCACGAAGAAAGGGCCTTGAGTCCCTACATAAATAATTTTGTAAGGACTTAGACTTTCTGAGTTATAAGGAGGTAGCCTTGCAGGGGAGTAATAGTTTTAAAGTAACTTGAATATTTCAATTTGTTTGGTACTTAACTCTACTTAAACATTTGTTTACGTCTCATGTTACAGAAACTTTTACCAGACTGTGGCCTCCTTGAAGGCGGATTCCATGTCATATTCATATTTGCATTTCTCAGAAACTAGCATAATGGACATTCAATATGTTAGTTGAATGGAGCCATATTGACTGCTGGGTTGAAAAAAGATGGTAGGAGGTCAAGAGTGGAATCAAGAAGACCAGGGAAGCCCTAGCTAGTTTGGCTCAGTGGATAAAGCATGGTACTGTGGACTGGGGGATCCTGGGTTGGATCCCCAGTGAGGGCACATCCCCAGTAGGGGGCCTGCAGAAGGCAGCCGGTCAATGATTCTCTCTCATCATTGATGTTTCTCTCTCTCTCCCTCTCCTTTCCTGTCTGAAATCAACAAAAATGTTTTTTTTTAAAAAAAAAGAAGACTAGGGAAACCCAAAACAATATATAGATTCAATGCAATCCCTATAAAAATACCAATGACATTTTCACAGAAATAGGACAAATAATCTTAAAATGTATATAGAACCACAAAATACCCTTAATATCCAGAGCAATCTTGAGAAAGGACAAAGTTGAAGGTACCATGCTACCTGAAACCAAACTATACCACAAACTATAGTATAATCAAAACAGCATGGTACTGGCATAAAAAAAAGACACATAGATCAATGGAACAGAATAGAAAGCCCAGGAATAAACCCACTTATATGGCCAATTAATCTATGACAAAGAAGGCAAGAATATACAAAGGGGTAAAGATCATCTCTTCAATAAATGGTGCTCGGAAAACTGGACAGATACCAACAAAAAATGAAACTAGACCACATTCTAACACTATATACAAGAATAAACTCAAAATGGATTAAAGGCTTAAATGTAAGACCCAAAACCGTAAAACTCCTAGAGAAAAACATAAGGAGTAAACTTTCTAACATTGCTGTAAGTCAGTGGTCGCCAACCAGTGGTCTGCAGACCACTGGTGGTCTGTGAGGTCCAAAAGGTTGGTGACCGCTGCTCTAAGTAATATTTTTTTGGATATGTCTCCTTGGGCAAGAGAAATAAAAAAGGTAAATAAACAAATGGGACTACATCAAACTAAAAAGTTTTTGCACAGTAAAGGAAACCATAAATAAAATGAAAAGACAACTTACTGAATGGGTAAAGATATTCATCAATAATACATCTGATAAGAGGATAATATCCAAAATGTACAGGATGAGGTAAAAGTAGGTTTACAGTTGTGAGTACACAAAACACAGTTTATTCTTGTATTATTATTTAATTATTATTTTATTTGTATTATGTAAACCTACTTTTGCCCACTCCTGTATATACAATAGAACATTACTCGGCCATTAAAAAAAATGAAAATCTTACCATTTTCAATGACTTGGATGGACCTAGAGGGCCCTATGCTAAGTGAAATAAGTCAGACAGAGAAATACAAATACCATATGATTTCACTTATATGTGGAATCTAAAAAACAATAAATGAACAAATAAACACATTTATAAACACAGAGAACAAATGGATGGTTGCCAAATGGGAGGAGGTTTGGGAGGTGGTGAGTAAAGATGAAGGGGTTAAGAAGTACAGATGGTTGTTATAAAATAGTAACAGGGATATAAAGTACAACACAGGGAATATAGTCAATAATATTATAGTGACCATGTATGGTGCCAGGTGAGTACTATACTTATGGGGGGGGGGGATCAATTTATATGTTATATAAATGTCTAACCACTATGCTATATATCTGAAATGAATATAATATTGGTTGTCAACTGTAATTGAAAGTAAGTTAAAAAACACAAAGATGCAGCTATGGTGTAATTCTTATACGAGATGGTGGCTCAGAACAGAGTGGACTAGAAGGGGTGATGATAGAGGCTGTGTGCCCTTCAGAGAATCACAACCAGATATAATCAGAATGCATGTGCTGGACTAGCTCTAGCCAAATGAGTCCTCATCAACTGACCCAGATGGGCACCCCTTAAAAAGAATGCTGGGCCTCAGCTGGGTGCAGGAGTGTGTGCTGAGGGATCTCACATCACCAGCCAGCCTGAACTGCTCTCCTCAGACTGTTCTCCTTAGAGTAACTGCTTATTCTAACCTTGGGATAATAACTGATGTAGTTTCTTGCTTCTACAAAGATGACAGGAGATGTAACAGATGGTGATGGGCAGATCAGGTGGTACTCAGGCATCAGAAGTGGGATTAGGCACAAGTCCCCTATGATCATCTCTTCTTTCCTCTGAATCTTTGCTTGCCTCCAAGTCTTGCCTGTTCACCATATCCTCTTAAGTAGCCACATCCCCTCAGGGATTCCCACCAGTGTGGAGATAGGCAAGCACTATCCTTATTGAATGCTCTTTCAGGGAAAATGAGTGGGATTCAGGATAATTAAAGAGAAATACAAAGAGCAGCTTTAGTAAATACACTACAATCTTTCTCAGTTGGAGAGGATATCTTGTCTGTGATATTGAAAGTTTTTGTTTTAGGAAAAATGCCCACAGTGAGATACCTTCCAGGAATGATGGTAGCCAGTTGTAGCATTGTTTGAGAAATTCGTATGTTGGGTTGCTAAAACTCTGCATTTAGGTATCCAGTCCTTTGATATGATCCCTGTGTTCTTTGACCATTGGTGCAGGTATACACTTGGGAAATGAGACCAAAATACTCCTGGCCACTCCCAGCAATTCTGTTTCATAACTCCAGACCCATCAGCAGAACACCCAGACCTACAGGCTGTGCAGGAACAACTCCAGGAGCAGGTTTTTCTGAGGACCCCATAGCAGTGTCACACCAAATTCAAAAGCCTATAGTCAGGTTACTGCAAAGTGAGGAGAGATTGTTTGCCTGACCTTATATCTTTTATGAGGAAATGGATGCCCTTTCAAGCTTCTCTGAACCTCCTGTGGCAAATGATGCTGTTTTTAGCCAAGAGGGAAATTACATGAAGTTTGGAGAGCTGAGTCAGCAGAACAGGGAGTCCACAAAGGTTGGACAAGGTACCACTAAAGATAATATAGCCAGAGATGAAAAGGACTACAGGGTTCATGGGAAGGAAGTTAGGGGAGTTGACCTGCCAGTCCTGTGCCCAAACATACTTGGTAAGACTCTTTGCTCTGATGGTCAAAGGATTGGAAAATATACTTAGAAAGGGTTGTTTCTGCTCTTGGCCTTGTCATCTTCTTGATGAATGACCATATACTTGCCAGAGAGTTTCGATTTTCATGGAGTTTAAGTATTATTTCCTTGCACGTTAGAGCCCAAATTTTGCATTTGCTGGTCTCTTTCACAGAGTCCATATTTTTTTTTCTTCATGGAGTTTCACTTATTTTCCTTCCTTAGATTGCCAGTTAAGTCTCCAGCTCAGACTCTCTCCTCTTCCCTCTTTTCATAACTTAAGTCTGTGCTTGCCAGATATTCAAAAACTTGCTTTAACCCGGTTGGTGTGGCTCAGTGGTTGAACATCAACCCATGGACCAAGAAGTCACTGGTTCAATTCCTGGTCAGGGAACATGCAGGAAGCAGCCAATCTCATCCATGTTTCTATCGCTCTATCCCTCTCTCTTCCTCTCTCTCTAAAAATCAAGGAAAACATATTTAACACACACACACAAAGAAACTTGCTTTATTCTTGTTTCAGCTGCCCAAACTCAGAGTGGCCTTTTATGATTCTGCTCGCAGAAGCTAGGCCATTCAAGAATTGAGAATACACCTACAGACAGAATGACAGCTTACCTCTTTGCTTTAGTTTGTCATCATGTCAGAATATCCCAAAAGATACAGAATAGGAGAAAAATGGGTGTGTGTGTGTGTGTGTGTGTGTACAGTATATTTATCAGTGACCACAAGTTTGGAGCTAAAAAGTATTACAATTGGAAAATAAAAGTTAGGCCTTTCATTAGCAGAAGACTGACTGTGACTGAGTCACATGAAGAATTCCAATTAGGTATTCCTTCTTTATAGTAGTTAATTTGTAACTCTTTCCTCATTCCATTGTTTCCTTCTCCAGAGTCCAATGTAATTTTATTCTTTCAGGTTCTGAGATGAAGAAAGGGACTATAAAAGAGAATCTAAAATGGGATGATTCACAAGAAGTAGAAATGAACAAGGATTTATGGAGAAATTCTAGTAGAAAAATGTTTTGGCACTCTGAGCTAAACACAAGCAAGATGGGTGAACCAATGTCAGGAAAGCAACATAGACAGTGTCCAGGGGAGAATGAGGAGATAGCTCCATCCCAGGAAACTATATGTCACCAGAGACTTTGGACTTAGGAGAAGCCCTGGATACATGTTGTGTGTGGGAGAGAATGCTCTCAGAATTCTCCCTCCTCTAATCACCAGCCAGCCCCTGAACTGGAAAAGGCTTCAAATGTCACAAAATGGGCAAACACTTTAGCCAGGTTTCTTATCTTGTGGCTTCAGAGAATCCACACAGGAAAGAAGCCTCAAAAGTGCAGTGAATGTGAGAAAGGCTTCAGTGAGCACTCCAACCTAACTGCCCACCTGAGGACTCACACAGGGGAGAGACCATACCACTGTGTGGAATGTGGGAAAAGCTTCAAACAGAGCTCCAGCCTCATTGTCCACCAGAGAACCCACACTGGGGAGAAGACTTATCAGTGCACTGTCTGTGGGAGGAGAGTCAACAAATTCCCATTTAGCCCTCATTGCCAAGTCCACATTGTGGAGGGCCTGTACCAGCATGCCCAGTGTGGGAAAAGCTTCAAGAAAAGCTCCTGCTTCAGTGCCCACCAGGAAACCCACACTGGGGAAAAGCCACATAAGTGCTTCCAGTGTGAGAAAAGCTTCACTAAGAATTCTTCCCTAATCTGCCATTGGGATATACATAGAAGAGATACATTTCAGGAAGCAAGAGATGCGACAAATATGTAGAAAACCTGACAACTCCTTAGGTCAACATTTGTTTCTGAGAGCTTCCTTATTTTGTGCATAGTTTTACTAGCCAATCCCTGGCTTAGCAGTAAACTTGACAACTGGATCTCAAGAACCATATCCAGGAATAGGAATCAGCCTAAGATTGCACAGCCCTCTTTCTATTTCTGCCCAGAATTTCACAATCCTGTCTCACTGTGGATTTCCATTTTGCTTTGAAGGAGAGAAGGCTCTAAAATCTGTAATTCCTGCCTGGCCGGTGTGGCTCAGTGGGTTAGCATCAACCTATGAACCAAGAGGTTATGGTTCAATTCCTGGTCAGGGCACTGCCTGGGTTGCAAGCTTGATCCCCAGTGTGGGGCATTCAGGAGACAGCCGGTCAATGATTCTCTCTCATAATAAATGTTTCGGTGTCTCTCTCCCTCTCACTTTCTCTCTGAAATCAATAAAAATAGATTTTTTTAAAAACTGCCATAATTGCCCTGGCTGGTTTGGCTCAATGGATAGAGCATTGGCCTGAGGACTGAAGGGTCCCGGGTTCAATTCTAATCAATGGCACATGCCTGGATTGTGGGCTCGATCCCCAGTAGGGGGCGTGTAGGAGGCAGCTGATCAATGGTTCTCTCTCATCACTGATGTTTCTTTCTCCCTTTCCCTTCCTCTGAAACCAACAAAAATATGTTTTTAAAAAACCCATCATAAGAAACCAAGATGGAGAAACCAAGATGGCGGCATAGGTAAACACCAGAGTTTGCTGCCTCGAACAACCACTTCAAAAATACAACTAAAAGACGGAACAGACATCATCCAGAACCACAGGAAGGCTGGCTGAGTGGAAGTTCTACAACTAGGAGGAAAGAGTAAAACATACCGAGACTCAGAGGAGGCGCAGTGCTGAAGTAAAATACTAAGGTGGGGAGTGCATGCGAAGCAGGCTGGCGGCTGAAGGCGGGGTTGTTGTTTTCAATTGGGAGGGAGACTCAGACTCTGAGCTCCAGCTCCGGGCGAGTCTCTAGAGACCCAGACTCATAGGGGAGAAGCGGGACTGTCTGGCATCACTCAGAACCCTAGGGCAGCTTTCTCTCCATGGGGCTTGCAGCAATTACTGGGACACTGAGAAGCAGAGCCTCTTAGGGCAAGACTGAGAGCAGCCATAATTGCTAACCCTGCCCTGTTGATCCCGTGGGATCCGCCCCGCCCAAGCCCTGCAGGCAGACTTTTGCTGGATAGCCTCAGGCAAAGGCTAGATTAGCACCTCCCTAGAGATCCAGGAGCCAGGAAGCCCAGAGGTCAGGGTGGGACCATCCAGTTTGCAGCTCCGTGGAAACATAAAAGGCACACTCAGGGGGAAGACTCAGTGAGCACCAAAGCCCCATTGAAGCAAGTCTAGCCCCAGAGGGGTGTCTCCAGCACAGAAGTTCTCCCACTGCAGACACAGCTGATTCTCACAGCCAATTGGCCTGGAGGTCAATTCCTCACAGTGATAACTACAATAATCAAGGCTTAATTACAACAAGACTGTGCACAAAGCCCACAAGGGGGTGCACCAAGAGTGTCTACCTCAGGTAATTGGGACACTTAGCACAGGAAGGAACTCTATCAACACAGCGAAGCATAAAAAATGCTGAGACAAAGAAACAGGACACAAAGGACAGAATTGGAGGAAAGCAAACTGCTGGATATAGAGTTCAAAACCACACTTTTAAGGTCTTTAAAGAACTGTCTAGAAGCTGCCGATAAACTTAATAAGGCCCTCGAAAAGACTGGTGAGACCGCCGATAAATGTAGTGAGATCTTCAAGAAGACTGATGAGACCGCCGATAAATGTAGTGAGATCCTCAAGAAATCTAATGAGACCCTCGATATTGTGATAAAGGACCAACTAGAAATTAAGCATACACTGACTGAAATAAAGAACATTATACAGACTCCCAACAACAGACTAGAAGATCGCAAGAATCAAGTCAAAGATTTGAAATACAAAAAAACAAAAAACACCCAACCAGAAAAGCAAAATGAAAAAAGAATCCAAAAATACGAAGATAGTGTAAGGAGCCTCTGGGACAGCTTCAAGCGTACAAACATCCGAATTATAGGGGTGCCAGAAGAAGAGAGAGAGCAAGATATTTAAAACCTATTTGAAGAAATAATGACAGAAAACTTCCCCTACCTGGTGAAAGAATAGACTTACAAGTCCAGGAAGCGCAGAGAACCCCAAACAAAAGGAATCCAAAGAGAACCACACCAAGACACATCATTATTAAAATGCCAAGAGCAAAAGACAAAGAGAGACTCTTAAAAGCAGCAAGAGAAAGAAAGTCAGTTACCTACAAGGGAGTACCCATACGACTGTCAGCTGATTTCTCAACAGAAACTTTGCAGGCCAGAAGGGAGTGGCAAGAAATATTCAAAGTGATGAATACCAAGAACCTACAACCAAGACTACTTTATCCAGCAAAACTATCATTCAGAAGTGAAGGCCAGATAAAGAGCTTCACTGATAAGAAAAAGCTAAAGGAGTTCATCACCACCAAACCAGTATTATATGAAATGCTGAAAGGTATCCTTTAAGAAGAGGAAGAAGAAGAAAAAGGTAAAGATACAAATTATGAACAATACACATCTATTAACAAGTGAATCTAAAAATCAAGGGAATAAATAATCTGATGAACAGTATGAACTGGCAAATGTAATAGAATCAGGGACATAGAAAGGGAATGGACTATTCTTGGGGGGGGGAAACGGGTGTGGGGTGAGGGAAGAGATTGGACAATAGTCGTGCACCTATGGATGAGGACAGTGGGTGGGGAGTGAGGGCGGAGGGTGGGGTGGGAACTGGGTGGAGGGGAGTTATGGTGGGAAAAAAGAGTAACTAATGTAATAATCTGAACAATAAAGATTTAATTAAAAAAAAAGACAAAAAAAAAAAAGAAACCAAGATGGTGGCATAGGTAAACATTGGAAATTGCTGGCTCCTGCAACAAATTCAAAAATACAACTAAAAGACAAAACGGACATCATCCAGAACCACAGAAAAGCTGGCTGAGTGGAAACTCTACAACTAGAAGGAAAGAGAAAAGCACACTGAAACTCAGAGAAGGTGTGGATGTGCAGAGGTACGGAGGCGCATGCGGCAAGGGCTGGCAACTGAGGACTCGGCTGTCTTTTTGAATTGGAAGGGAGTCACAACCCCCGACTGCTCTGAACTCCAGTTCTGGGTGAGTCTCTGGGGACCCAGACTCATACAGGGAGAAACTGGACTGTCTGGCAGCAGGCAGATTCGGAACTCGAGGGCAGCTTTCTCTCAAAGGTGATTGCAGCGATTACAGGGACATTGAGACTCGGGCGCCTTAGGGCAGGACTGAGGATCAGCCATAGCTGCTTGCTCCACCCTGTTGATGACCTGAGACCCCGCCCCACCCAAGCTGCAGCAGAGGATTTGCATATGAATGCCCTGTCTCTTTGCAATCTGAAAATTACCTAACAAACTGCAGCTGGGCCAGACAGACCCAGAACTTCCAAGAGAAGGCCCAAGGCCCCACAGCAGCTTGCACTGCTTCATAGCTGGGCCTCATCTGGGCACCTCCAAACCCCAAACAAGGAAGGGGAATCTGCAGATCTCTTCGTAGCTCCTGCTGGGTAGCCTCAGGCAGAGGCTAAATTAGCACCTCCTTAGATCC